GTGTAGCTTAATTACTATTAATTTACATGAACTTGACACCTAGTGATTTAGTGAACAATAGATTACTAGAGTTAGGATCGAACCGATCTTAGATAAGTAATTAAAGTTATTGAACTTAGCTGTGCTAGAGAACATATATTGCGACTATAATTGTGTTTGTTTGACCAATCTTACATGGCTCCATTCATAATTCATAATTGATTTTGTGTTAAATTATGTGTGACCATGCATAGTTCTACATGAACTAGTTAAACATTAGTATATTTGGACATAAATTACTAATAATATAATAATTGGTAACCAACGTGAATTATCCATAATTAGTAGCTAACCATTGAGGAGAAGTGGATTCAAACTAAACATAAGTGTTTTTAGTAATTGATTGAATTTGATAGTTGAGTGAATAAGTTTGTCTGAACTTGCAAAATCGGATAAAAACCAAATTAACTTTTGCTTTTCTTAGATTAATATTTAGTAGATAAATTAATTAATTAAAACCGTTCCCTGTGTTCGATACCCGATTGCTTGTGTTATACTATTTGCGAAAAGGTACACTGCCTTTAGTCGAATAGCTAGTTAGATGGTAAAATTAGGTGTAGTATATATAATTCGACACATCAAGTTTTTGGCGCCGTTGCCGGGGAACGACTATTTAATTTAAAATTTTATTTGCTTTAGATTAATAGATCCTTTTTGTGGGGTAAAACCTGCAAAAAGTTAATTTTGAGCATTAGTTTTTTTAGAACTGAACTCACGACGTGAACTCAGTCATTTACGTTTGTTTTCATTTTTTTCGTTTCTGTTTAGGATTTTTACGACATCAGGACGTGGTATAATTAGCCACGGCGTGGTGAATGTTCGGTAGGACTTTTTAAGTAGTTTTAGTTCAATTTTATGTTTTTATTTTTGTTTTTGTTGCAGTAGTACATGACCCGAGGATCCAACACACCTATGATAAAGTTTTAAATGTCTTAAATTTTCTGATTGCCATTCAAAACACACTTTAACGTGGAATTCATTTGTTGGGTTAATTATGGATATAAAGATTCTTCATCCTATGAAGATGTAAACGGAAAATTATTTAGGAAAATTCTCCATATTGATCAAAACTTTTCAATTGTTTCAGCAATATTGGGATCTGAGCATTAGGAGATTTCTAATACATATTAAATTTTTCATCAAAATTAGTCAAATTCTAGGAACATAAAACTTTGATCAATCGAATACTCAAAATTGAGTCATTTAGCTTAATGAAATTGAAATAACCCACAACTTTCAACACACCAAACAAACCGGTTTAATCAATTTTTATTCTCAAAAACAAAAAGATTAAGACATAATTATAATCAAATATTTTGAAAACAGAGAGCTTACTACTGTCGGGACCATTAAGTTTAGTATCAGAATCAACAAATCTATCTTGAGGATGTCCGTTTGAGCCTTGGCTTTGGGTCTCTTGTCATAACTACTCCACCACTCTCAAACTCAAAACAACTATCGTCTCTCGCCTTGAAACCAAAACCATTTTATTTCAGTAAATAAAAAAATTATATTAGAAAATGAGAGTTTAAGCAGAAATTCTTAATCTGAAGCAGATTGATTATGAGTTACCCACAAAAAGCATAATTCTCATTCAAACATCGTTCAAGACAGTACCATGGAATGTAAATAGATTAAATAAAATACAAAGGCTTACATGATGTTATTTGGGGTCACATTTTCCTTTTTGAGGGACTTGATCTGATCAAGCATGCCCTTCAAGTATAACGTACGTCAGCTTTAACATTTACTCCCAAATCATGTTTCGCTCCTCAATCGCTTCACAATGTTCTTCTTCTTCTTGGCAAAAACAGTGACACGTGATGCTCTGAATAAAACTTAAAATAAATGTGACATCCGCTAAAACTCAGGTTAGGACTCATCTATAACCTTGTCAATTCCATGCGTGCACATAACTTGGCTTTAGATGCAACAAGTTGAGCTAAATCGCGACTTAATAGATCCCTCAGAACAAGTAGTGTAACTTACCTTGTACTAAGCAGTTACATTGATATGTGAATACTCCAACTAGGTTGTAAAGTGCCAAAGTTCAATCTCAAAACAAAACACAAAACCATGTTCAATAGATCACGACTCAAGGGTAAGTTAAATACCCTAATTTATTAATCAGAACATATGACGTGCTTAAGTAGTTTAAGTACTTATAAAACTCAATTTAATTAAATCATGATTTGATTAAATTACAAGTTGGAAATAATATCCAAATATCATAATTTGAATTATGAGCCAAAAGTATAATTCAAGGATTGTCTAATCCTACATTCATATGTGAACCTTTGTTTCATTTATTTGAAATATAAAATTTGATTCTATAAAAATCAAACCTTTAATTCAAGAGAATACAAGTTTAGGAACTTATTTCTAAAAACAAAATACTTGAATAAAAACCAAGAAATAAACTCTTGGAAGTTTATAAAAATACATGAAATATTTATAAAAACTAAATATGATTTTTATAAAAATGATTAAGAGGACATATTTATTCAAAATGAGACTTTCAAAGCCTATTTAATCCCTTCTCTTGTCCCAAAATTCGTTCATAGGTTCTCTCTCTCTTTTTCTCTCTCTCTCTCTCTCTATCTCTCACTCTTTATTCCTTGCTCCCATGATGCAAAATCTCGAGGTCAGATTTTGCATGTCCTTTGAGAGAGTAAACCCGTTCTTATAAACGACTTATTTGGGAGAGATTTCCCCATTTCCTTTTTCACATGTTAACTCACATGTCTGGAGTTTTGTGGCCGATTTCGGTGGAGTATAGCCCCAAAGAGACAACGAGAGAGATGGTCTATCCAGAGAGACATAAATTCACTTTATCTCTTTCTTTTCTCTAAAAACACTATATTTTTCTCTCAACTCTTTCCACCAAAAATCATCCTTCAACACACGAAAATAATGAGATATTTGGGTGTTTTTGATGCCTCAAAATCGAAGTCAAGGTAAGAGACTCCACTCTCTCCATCATTCTCTACATCTTGATGCAAGTTTTAGTTTGTTTTCTCTTCATCATTGGATTCTATGCCCTTTAAAGGCTCTAATATTTCCTTTCAATCTTGATGTTTGTATATTATTACCATCACATGTTTTATGTATTAAAAATGGTGATAATCCATGATCAAACTAATGTTAAGATCAAAGATTAACCCATGTATGCTCTTACAACTTCAAAAATCAGATTCTACTCCTTCATCTTCTTCAAAATCCGTTTTCTTATGGTTGAAATGGTTTTTAGAACACCATGGATGTGTTTTGACACCAAGAATGTGTGAAAAATAAGGTTGCATGTTCTTGACCTTAGCACAAAATCGATTTTCAAGTTAAGAACATCAAGCCCATTTTATAAAGTTCTTGAGAACAAACATTTTGTATTATGCATGTTTGTTTTTGATCATTTAAAAACAATTTTGTCTCTGGAAACATGACTAGAACATGCATGAATCTTGATATCTTTAAAATATTTTAAAAGATTTTCCCAAAATAATGATTAAATCTCACTTTTCCAATCCACTAGCATATATGCAATCTGACAGGTTTCTTTACCTGACTTTGAACTACCATATCTCACTCATTTCTCAACCAAAACATGAGATTCTTTTTTTGAGAAGTAGTAATTTGAGTTAACTTTCGAACCTAAGTGGTCTCACTGTAAAACATTAAGATTTGGATTTTCAATAATTTTTACAAAACAGTTGCTCCATCTACATTTTTTTTGTGATCACTAGTATTTCATTACATGATCAAAGCCTTAAAACCCACAATAAATTTGGATAAAAATATTTTAAGAACTTGACACATTTATCTCAGAGGAACTAAAATTTCATGTACTAAAACGTTATAGAAGTTTCTACACAAATTGTTGAACTTTCAGCTACATTTGGAACTCATGCACCATATAGTGTTACACTTCAAAACTTGATGGAAGTTGAATACCCCATTTAGCTCCGAAATTATTTTGAACCAAATTGGTTTATGAAAGTTCATGTTTTTAAGAGATGTTCAGTGAAACCCCAAGTGCTTAAACAAAATCCTTATTTTTCTACAAAAATAAGAATTTAATGGCCATAAATTCAAAATAATCATTTACAGATGAGATAAAAATTTGAAAAACTTTAGAACTGATGTATTCACAAAATAAGGATCCTATATGAATTTTTATACAATTTGGTCACTGTTTGATATTTTATTCAGATTTTTCACTAAATTAGAGCATGAATTTACAAAACTGGGTCATAGGACTCAAGGGCTTGAATCAATATTTTTCCCAACTTTGGTAACATTATGAGAACCTGTAAAAATTAATTTGTGAATTTTTGCAACTGTTTGCTATTTATTATGAAATTTTCCTATTATTTAGACTAAAATTACAAATAAATCTCAAATGACCTTCAAAAAAATTTATAAAATTTATGGACACTAATACCCTCTGTTAGAACCAGAATATAAGGTTTTACTATTTTTGGAGTTCAGTTTGCATGCCTTTATGGATGTTTGAACACAAGGCACAATGAATTATTAATACTATTGACGACGGTGAGTTTAACTGTCGTCCTCAAAATCTCAGCCGTCTAAACTCCACGTTCTTTAAATCTCGTTCGCATAAACTCGATTTTGGTGGTTTTTTGCAGTTCATCGAATCCTGCTTCTTCTCCCCCACGATTCCGTACGATTGCGTCTCTACCCACGTTCTACACAATTGGCTGTTGTTTCCTCAAGAAGCAATTGATTTGGAAATTGCATTAAACTGCAGCACGCGTCGGACTTTTACCCTTAACCGCAAATTGGTTTTAATCAAGAACTGCACCACACGATTCCATGATTGCTAGAAATCAGGTGGTTTTGATTAACTGTTTTGCCTATATAAAGAGTTGAATTTCACTGTAAATGCTTCAATCATAGTTGTCGATTGACAATTGTTGGTAAAAATAGTTGCTTTTGTTGATCCAATGGCTTCCGATTCGTCTGACATACCTTCACTTAAGGTAAAAATTCATTTGTTTACTCGATTTCGATTGTTTGTATCTCATTGCATTGGTTTGTTTCAATTGGTAAAAATAATTGATTCGTTTGATTTAATGTTTTTTCCAATTTGTATATTCTTTCTTCACGTAAGGTAAGCTTATTGTCTCGATTCCTTTGATTTTTAGTCCATTGTATAATCAAGTTCGATATATAATTGAAGCTAATGTCCATTAATGTTTCAAATTTCGATTTCATATGTATTAACAATTGTGTTACATATACTTTTTATGTAGAACATTGAAGTTGTTGCTGGAAAAGTGAATCCATCGACAGATGTATCAAAATCGACAGTTGATCCTAATGATTCCAATTCGTCTGACATACCTTCACCTAAGGTAAACATTCAATTGTTTAATTGATTTCTGTTCTTTGTATTTCATTGCATTTGTTTGTTTAAATTGGTAAAAGTAATTGATTCCATACATTTATGTTTTGCAATTGGTTGATTGTTTCTTCACATAAGGTAAGCTTTTTTGTCTCTATAATCGTATCCTTTGATTTTTACTTGATTGTATTTTCAAGGTCGATGTATATTTGAAGTTAAGGTTCAACTATGTTTCAAATTTCGATTGCTTATGTATTAACAATTGTTTTATGTTTAATTTTTATGTAGAACTTTGAAGATTTTTATGGAAAAGTCAATCCACTATCAGAGGTATCAGAATCGACATTTGATCCTAATGATTCCAATTCGTCTGACATCTGTTCACCTAAGGTAAAAAATTCACTTCTTCAATCGATTTCTATGGTTTGTACTTCATTGCATTTGTTTGTTTCAATTGGTAAAAACAATTGCTTCGTTTAATTTTATGGTTTGCAATTTGTCTATTATTTCTTCACACAAGGTGAACTTATTGTGTATGTAATCGATTGATTTGATTTGTAATTCATTGTATATTCAACTTCGATGTAGAATTGAAGTTAAATTTCGTTTATTTTTCAAATTTGGATTTCATATGTATTAGCAATTGTGTTCTTTATAATTTTTTTGTAAAAATTTGAAGATTTTGATGGAAAAGTCAATCCACATTCAGAGGTATCAAAATCGACATGTCACTCTGATTCTGATAGTGTTGAAATAATCGACTTCAGTGTTCACTTCAGTCCCTACAAATCCCAGTTAGAGAGGGTGATTTCGGAAGAGTTAAAGATTTTATGAGTTTTGTTTTCAGATAGATATGCATGTAAATTTGTTTTTCTCTTTCAGATTTCTTTAATTGCCAAAGAAGAGGAGAAGCTGTCAAGAAAAGAAAAAAGGAAGTTGGCTTTGTTATGTTGGAAGTGGGAAGAAGTTGTAGATCTATATGAAGATGAAGACTTGGGTGTAGATTTTACCATTCATATCACTGAAAAAGAAATTGAAAGTTTCCATTCAATCTCGAAATCGAGTCGTGAAACTTTTTGATGAATCAGATGTTGATGAGTGATTTAGGAATAACTTTGTTAATTTTTTTTTGTTTTTTGTATTGTTCTTTTGGATCTGCTACAGTTAGTGGTTATTTATTTTTTTGAATTAATGTTTATAAGTTTTTCAATTGTAGTTAACTGTTGTTTATGTTATTTCACTTCTATTGCTATCAATTAAGGTAACCCACTTTTATTATCAATTATCTTCAACATCTTTTATTTCGTTTAATACTGTTTACCCCTCATGCATCATTTATGGTTTTGGACCGTTTTACCCTTTCTACCCCCAATTGTATTGTAATTGTCATGGATAGTGTTGGTAATACATAACTTAATTGAAGTGACTATTATTCATCAGCAATAAGAGTCAAATTTCAGAATGTTTACTTATTAAGGCATTTTGTATTTTTAAATTGTTTATTTTAGGCAAATGGTCGAGCAAGGAGGGATGGGCTTGCTTCTGAAGTTTTACTTTACTTTATGCCTGCTGATGTCCCAAAACAGGTATGAATTGTTGGAGGGTATTGCTTCTGAATTTTTTCTTTTTCATGTATATGTTGCTTCTCTTCTAATACATATGGTTGAGTTGAGTTTATTTTTCAGTTGAAGAAACAGGAAACAATTTTAGTCCATTTGATACTATTGTTTGTAAGATTGTACTTTGAATTTTTTTTCCAAAAAGTGGAGCTTGTATCCACTTAATTCACTCATTTGTGTTTCGTATTTGGGTAATTGTGAGGAGGCTATTGATTTGCATGTTGTATAATTAATTACAATTATAGTTATATGGAGTAGTTAATTATGAACTTCTTGAAAGGTCTTAATTTGGTTTCAGATCGTGAGAGATCAAATTGTCTTTTATTTTTTTTATTTTTTTTTACATAGTCTATAAATAAATAGTTGATTATACTATGACTATAAAGATATTTAGGATTATTTGTTCAATGTGATAAAAGGGTGGCATATTTGATTTTGATTTTGTGTTTTTTAATGAATAGATAGAAACATGTCTTAATTTAATGATTTGGATGTAACAAAAGCTATTCAACATATTCTTTTTTTCATTAATTCAATTTTTATCATCTTTTATAATGTCCTTAAGTAAGACAATTCATAAGTACATTGCTATTTTATCAGTCAATCCGTCCACCGGACGGGTATAACATTTGGTAGGACTAGAACAGAATGGAACAAGATATTAAAAAAAGACCACAATGCCCTTCTACCATTGTTAATGATTTTGGACCGTTTTACCCCTCCTCCTCCATGTGTATTTAAATGCTTATGTGTTGCCAACTAAAATATGATTAAGAAAAAAAATCATAATTTTTTTTTTAAATATGATGCTATATTTGAAAGTACAATGCTTAAATAGTTAAATGTTTTACCTTTATTTAAAATAAAGATGTGGTATATCTATTATTGAACATTTGTTGGAGATGTACAATTGTTTTTGTATATTTCATCATGGTGAAGAAAAAACAGTTATAATCCGAAAAAGTCAAAATAATGTCATGTTTTTGTACGATAATAACGGTTCCTAATTCGTTTTTATGATTTTGGACCGTTTTACCCCTTCTTGCATTTTCAGTGTTTTATCTTACAGGTAATTTTGTTTTTTTGTTGTTAAAAACACTAATAATATAAATAAAATCATTTAACCTATTTTTTACCTATTAAATTCAATTAAGTAGTTACAAAGGCTAACAAATGTAAGAGATGGAGTTGATGTTAGTTTCACATTCTTCAGATCCCAGCCTTAACATAATTCAGTGGCCAACATATTTGGTTGCTAGCAAGGTTCCAAATGCTCTTGACATTGCAGTTCAGTTTCGATCCAAGGATGCTGATCTTTGGAAATCTATTTGTGCTGATCAATATATGAAGTGTGCTGTCAGTGAATGAAACGAGTTATACCATCATAAAAAAATTTATGTTATTTTCCTATTTAAGCAATGTACTTTGAATTATACCATTGTACTTTAATTGTTATTTCATAATTACAATATATATATATATATATATATATATATATATATATAACTGTTTTTTTCTTATTGTAACATACTCTTAATTTGTTTTAATGATTTTGGACCGTTTTACCCCTCCTGCATTGTTAATGATTTTGGACCGTTTTACCCCTCCTCCCCCCATTTGTATTGAAATGATTATGTGTTGCCAACTAAAATATGAATAAGAAAAAAAAAATCATAATTGTTTTTCTTGAAATTATGATGCTATATTTTGAAAGTATAATGCTTAAATAGTTAAATGTTTTACCTTTATTTAAAATACAGATGTGGTATATGTATTATTGAACATTTGTTGGAGATGTACAGTTGTTTTATATATCTATTATTCTATATTTCATCATGATGTGTGTGATATTTAGTTATATTATGTGCTTTTCCAACATAACATTCTTTATTAGCAAATTTGTGACCACACGCTACTTTACCAACATTGTAGAAATTAACAAATCTAAAATATTTGAGCAAGTTCATGAGTAATACCAGAGGAAAAAAGATTCAGTCTTTCCTATTTCTTTCCTATTCCTGCCATAAATACCGTCAACATCAAGTAATCTTTTAAAAACCAACTAACATACTTAGATACTGAGTTCATAGAAATGAATCTCAAATTTGAAGTTAAGCTATCACTATAGATGGTTGCGTGGCGATTCCCCTTGACGAAACGCCAAAATGGCCTTTCAAAATGTAAAAGACCTTGAACATGTGATACTGCAACCGAAAAAAACAATGGTTAATAACAAATAACATTGGCAAACCTTGAGGGAGAAGGGTTCCCCTTTTTCTGTTGGGTAGATAAATGTTGGCCATCAACCAATCTGCTCACAAAAAGAATTGAATCAATTCAAACAATTGTTATTAGTTTAAACGATACGTACAAATAAACAAACAGGAAGTCAGGTGGCAAACCACAACAGCTTAACATGCAAACAGAACTATATCAATCCTAATTAAAGAGAAATCGTTATAAGTGCTCACGAAACAGACAAATGTATGATTCTTAAATTGCAAATTTGATAACTCTTCTAAAATGTTACTAAATGTATGATTGTTATTCTGCTATGCTAATGACATAAAGGATCTAAAAAAAAAATTCAAAGTTCTATATAATACACATAAATTTCCCTCTTTAACTAACTGGGAATGAAAATTTTCATTTATAACATATGTAAACAAATTCCTAGAATAAGTTATTAGGCTTGAGCACTATAATGTCAAATTTGAAATATAAGGTAGTTCATAAAATACCGTTAAAATGTGAATCTCCTGAATTTCCACTTCTACCCCTACAATATGCTATTTACCTCAAAAGGGTTAAACACGCTTAAAATGAAACCTGTTAGCATTTATAAAGAGGGTATACTTTATATAAATTATTTTGTCTATATTATGGAAGTTGAAACATTTTATAATTTGGGTTATCCATTAAAAAAATTATGTTATTTTCCTATTCGAGCAATGTACTTTGAATTATAACATCATACTTTAATTGTTAATTCATAATTACAAATATATATATATATATATATATATATATATATATAT